ATCCTTACAGGGAGCAAATGTAATGTAAAGTTTTCTGTATCTTTACTGAGATGTTTTTACATTCTAAAGTGAGCAATGCCCATTGACTTGCATATGAACTTTAATGGCCTACTTATTGTGTAGAGCCAGATCCATGGCTAGTGCATACCTTCATGGCTCCATGGAGGTGAAGGAGACTATGGGGCAGGAGCAGGTAGAGGTGGGTAGACATCAAGTGAGGACCTGCTGTGGAATATGCATATTTGATGTAGATGAGAACAAATGTCAATCATCTCTATTTTTGATCTCTACCCACCAGCGCAAGCAGTTCCTTTATTATAATGTTTCCCAAATTCTGTTCATCTAAAGTAACCTGAACCCTGTCACCATGGTCAACAGCTGCCAACAATTGAACACCTATAGTCAGAATAGCTTCTAGTCTTCCCAAGTCTGTTGTCCAGTCCTCCAGCCCTCACTAGGTCAGCATATGAAATTGCCGGGCTTTCAGTGACTTGAGTGATATCTTAGGTACCACAGGGTCTTTGCAATGATGGTGTGAAATACAATTGAACTACCTCTTCCAGCTGACCCTCCCTACAAAGCTGTGAAGAATCATTCCAAGACAAGACCAAGGAAGCAGTTGTGGCAGTTCAGTAGGGATTTATGACTGCAGAGGCACTTCCCTCCTACACTCTCTTATCTGGAGTTCACTTGGAATTAGTCTATAAATACACGTACATATACACACATTGCCAAGTCTTCCTTCTATGGCTGAATTTTCACATCAGAGGAGAATTTACCTTCCTCCTCCCTTCCCCTGCAGCATGCCTACTACCTTCATGTCTTCCACTGGTCTAAGACTACTGCAATTAAAGGTGTCTAGGCTCTTTTGGGGGTGAAGTTACATGTTGCACTTAGACCGTAGCAAGGGCACTTAAATTGTGAGCATCCACACGTTAAAGCTCATTAACTCATGATAAATACCTTTGGAGCATCTCAAGTTTACACCACTTTGGGCAAGGGCAAGTCTGTGCTACCTAGCTCATGTTAGGGTAGCTTCAGTCTGGTCCATGGAGATGAAACAAGCAATTTGCAGTCTTCCAACATCCCAGAATGCACTTCTCCTAGCTTCCCCCCACCCCCCAGCAGGGATAGAGTCAGGTTTCCTAGCTCCTAGCCACACCCCTGCTTGCCAGCCATCTAGTGGCAAGAGAGAGCTGTGCAGGCAAGAAACAGTATTAACCTTTAATGTGTGATTGTATGTTCAACTTTAAAACTGCTTAAGATTCCACAGATGTAGTATGGTCTAAATGTAACATGTAATTTCACCCTGGTTCTCTGAACTGCATGTGTAGCTAGCTGCTTAGGGCTTACTCATGTTTTTTCTGTATAAAAACTAAGATGGTTCATTTCATAGCTGAACAGCAGCAAGGGTAATTTGCATGTAAGTTTTATGGAATTGTATATAAAGAGCTAGTTGACAAATTGTATACAGGAAACCCTTACTATTCACGGGTTCGGCATTCGCGGTTTCAAATATTCGTGAATGCCAAACGCGCTTCTTAAATATACTTAAAGGAGCTCCTTGGGAGCTCCGCATTTGCCACCACTGTGCTCCCGCCGTTGCCAGAGCAGCCATGCCCCCCACCAGCTGCTGGGGACACTGAGTTCATGAACGCAGACGGTATTCATGAACACAGTGCCTTATTCATGGATTTCGCCATTTGCAGGGGATATGAGAACGTATCCCCCACAAATGGCAAGGGTTGCCTGTACTTTACAAAAATATAAGTGTAAGGGAGAGGAAGAGTCGGCGGGCTCTGCAGCTCCCCGCCCATGCAGAGCCCCGCCAATCATCCTCCCGCCAGTTTCAGTTGCGGGGTGGGAACTTACCTTCCCCAGGTGTGCGGGGAGAGGAGGGGCTGGTACCCACAGGGCCGGCATAAAAGAGAGGCCGGGGATGGCCAGAGGGGGGAATGCGGAACTGGAAGCAGGCAGCAAGGAGCCTGAAGTCCAGCGGAGCTCATAGCAGCGGATGCGAGCGGCCCTCCAGCGCGGTAGGACCCGTTGGCAGAAGGGTCAGCCCCCGCGGGGCCCGGAGAGCCCAGGCGGGCAGACTGGGGAAGATTGAACTGTTAGATTGCCAGTTGGGAGCGGCCGTAACCCAGCGGGAGCCGGGTACCGTATTGACTCTACTATAAGGGCACTCGTTTGCTGTAAATACCGTAGCACCTGCAATAGGGGTGTAATGGCTGCAGGGAGCCCTAACTGTAAAATTGAGGAACCTGACAAGGTCCCTAGCAGAGCTCGTCGGGAGCTAGAGAGGGGTTAGACCCCACGGCATACAGGAAACGCAGGAGGTTGTCGGCTGAAGACTGAAGCCGTCGCTTCACATGTGGAACCCCTGGCCGTAGTATTTTGTGTTAATCCGTATTTTTCTTTCTGGACAATCTGAGTGGATGCGCCGGATAGGCGGTCACCTACCGGTGGAACGGGCGAGGGTGTAGGGGTGGAGGAGCCCTCATCAACGTGGGACCCGTGGACACTGAGGAGTCTCATAACTGGACGACACGCGCCGGACCATCTGAACCAACTCTAGTATCATCGAAGTCGTGGCAGGAGAGGCAAGCGCGTGTAAGCGCCCAACGCACGGTGAGCCGACCCTTGGTGAACGGTAAGCGACCCCGCCATGGGGAGGCGGAAGCGGGAAATCACCCAATCCCCCGACAATAAGCCTCACATAATTTAATTGTTTGAGTAACTCCATTAATCTTAGCCATATTTCAGCACTGCAAGACTTGCTATAGCTGTGTTCAGACTTTAGTCAGATGCAAATACGGGTGCTATGCTGTTCTTTATACAGTTTCTACAACTACTGTCTTGGTGAGTTTGCTCATGTTGCAGTGATAACATTCAGTCAGTCTTCCTCGTACAAGTTTTTGCCAATGTCATTAAGCTTCTTCCTTCAGTGGAAGGTCATTAAGAGACTTAAAAACAAGGAAGGAAAAAACCATAATAACTGAAACTTTCTTGTTCTTCCTGTCCATTTCCTAATGTAGGTAGCACTTTATGGTTAAACAGAATTTTTGACAGTTTGTAGGTTTGGGACATTTGCTTCTGTCATAACCCTAAAACAAAGCCATAGGAACTCTATTTATATAGGTATTCATTAGAATAGACTGATTAAAATCAGGGATCTAAACCCCTAATTTTAAATCTGTAAGAAAGCTTTATTTAAATAATCCATTTTAATCTTTTATTTCATTTGCACTTTAGGTATTTTCCTAAAGAAAAGCCTGTTCTTATGGGTGGTGAACCAGTAGCATGTGTTGTTTAGCAACAAAGTTTGGTACTGCATTTTTGTTAAGCAGGAATATAGACTATATACACATTTAAGGAATTACAAAACTAAACATGTCTATCCAGAGTCTCAAATTTTACACTTTATTATGCTAGAAAATAGTGAATGACTAGATGATTACATTTTTTTACTTATGACTTGTGGCAAGTTGCTTGCAGATGGAAACCTGAATTTAACTAAAAATGCAGAAAAACAAGTTATTTTCTGCTAGTTAAATAAAACTATAATTGAATGTGCTGGATGAACAAGAAAAAAAATTTTCAAAACATATTTTTGCACTAAAAAAGAATTAAGTGCTATCTGAAGATGGTGAACAAAATTAATCATTTTGGCTACTATGTCAATAAGGATTTTAGAATGACGTCAGCTTCTCATACCTAGGTTTTATTCATATATTGACAAGGGACAATTAGCTGTTCTGTTTTTATCTCCCAATCAGTTTCTTAGTATGGAATTAAATGATTGAACTGAACTAAGTTAAAAAAATGAAAATGAAAACCCTCTTTCTGCACCTAGAGAAGAAAGAGCTATGAAAGGATTTTTGACATCTGGTTCAGGTCCTTAGCCAGTGATACCCTTGACTAATGGCTTGATTATTTGTAAGACTTTGACAGCAAACATTTACTGCTTGAATATTATTTTAATTTAATTTAAATAAAAAATTAATGAAGTAGTGTTGAAGCAATGTTAAAGCTGGAGCAGTTTTTGCTATATATGTATTGTTCCTGGCTTGTCCACACACAACAGCTAGAACTCAAAAGGGCAGCTGCCCCTTTGAATTGGCTCCAAATATATGTGTGTCCATACCCAATGTCACATACTGCCCTAGATACGCATATTTCCCACTCAGTGATATCAATAATGTTGCACAAACATCTGGAACCAGTTTGCTTCAAGCTCCCATTGTCTTCAGTTATTTATTTCCCTTCCCATGACTAATTTATTTAGCACACACCCATATGCGCCCATGTCAAATAATGAAAAAATAAAGTCATAACAGGTATAGAAAAGGGCTATCCACCCATATTCTCTTCAGTATTAGAAAAGGGTGAACAATACATGAACAAGGCTCTCTGCCCATTCTCTTTCCTCAGGATTGCTGAACTGTTTCACATATTGTTTTTCTTTTATTCCTGCACTTGATGAGGCCCGTGAACAGTAGTGGTCATGGACTTGTTTGAGATGAATGGAGGAGAGTTAACAGCAAGGTTGGCTGCAGCTGAGGAAGGGTCAATTGGTTTATACAAGCTAGCCAAATGCTAATTATGCCATGACCCGTTGACATTTTACTGGGCAGCAAGAGACCTGGCATTCTTTGAGACTTCCTTTGGAGCAATTTTCCTCCCCTAAATGTTCCAACCTGTGTGGCCATCACCTCACTAGAACACAAACATTTCACACCTGTGCCTTTATAAAAAACAATTCAAAATGCAACTGCTGCATCAGATCAGAGAATACCCAAGAGAAGCCAGGCTGAATGGAATGTCATTTATACTGCTGGAACCTGCAGCTTCCGTCCTAAACTATTCCTGACATGAGAAATTCAGCCATTGCACAGTGGAGAATGTGGGCCATCTCACCTAGCATTGGTTGCCATAAAGCATTAATGAAAACATGAATCTGTAACTTACTGACAAGCACAGATTGAATGAAAACTTACCATCTCACTCACTTCAGCTTCAGGGCTTTCACATGAGCATCTTGGATCCTTAGGTAAGACAGTCATTCCTTTCATTCCTGAAAATAAACAGCATTTTATGAGCTAAGTGAGAATATACTCATTCAAGAGGTTGTCTTGTTTTCTTTGCATTCAAGACTTCTTTTACTTCAGTGCCATGTTATAGTCAGCTTGATATTTCACTGGTCTTTTAAAAGAGAATAGAATAAATACAAATGTTCTTACAACTTTAAATATGTTCTCACATTTATGATCAGCTGTGTCTACCACTGAGACAGAGCCACTTCTAGAGCAAAATACTCTGTAATAATGCAATACACAAAGATAGGAGGGGGTAGAGAACCTATGCGAAATGGGGGAAATACAATTCATATAGGCAGAATGCACACAAGCTCTGTTTGGTAAGGACAATCAGGCTAGCAGCATTTTCAGAAGCATCAAGATTGCTGGCTTCATGCCTACTACACAGCTCTGAGAGTGCATAAAAGGGGCTCCTTGTTTTTATATTTTATCCAAAATGCAGCTTGTTGAGTATCTCCATGCTGCCCAGTGCTATGGTGGATACTAGCTCTGGATTGACACACATCCAGCTTTCCTTAGGACTTTCCCTTCCAGATGCTCATCTGTATCCTGTCTAGCTTGCAAGACATATAAAAAACACAGTCTAAGCAGTTACAACTGCAGGTGGTTTGCCATATATCTACTCAGAAAGAGGACCTTTACAATTATTGTTTATACAACTCCAGTTTAAGCCTTAAAGGAAAATAAAGTTGAAAATAACTTCCATGAATCACAATGAATGCAAATTTTGTCTTCAGGGATAGCGTAGCTCAATTATATGCAGACATATACTACGGATTGATTACTTTTCGATTATGTACATCAACTGCAATATCTAAAATAAATAATAATGGATGAAAGATTATATAATATGTCAAAGTGAGATGAATACATTCAGATTTACTCTGCTAGCAAAGGAAATTAGAAAGTTATATTCTGTTTTTCAGTGTCCAGGGATTTATAAATGTAACTTCCAGAATTGTTACAAGAATGTACACATGTATATTGCCAGGCACTAAAATAAGGATACATCTAATAGGATATTCTCGCTAGCATTTGCTTAAATTGATACATAAATGGTATAAGAAATAATGCATCTGTAAAGAGATGCATTGTAGTTTAGTGTTGAAAGCAGGGAGTTCAGTTCCTGGGCTTTCACTTACCCTGTAGTCTTGGCTACACTTAACACCTCTGCATTTTTATGTATACTTTTTCTTGGATTTATTAAAATCACCTTTTCAAAAAGGTTGTCTGTCTGAGGGAAGATCAACTGATTTCATTCTGCTGCTTATTGATGGGAGTATTCCTTTTTAACAGGGCGGGTGTTGGGTGGTGTGCTGTTCTTGCTATAAAGGTGGGGGAAAAGTATGTGCCCATACCAGTCAGTGTGGTAGAGGCAATATCTTTTATTAGACCCACTAGATAGTTGCAACAACATTTTTTTGCAAGCTTTTGGGCTCATGCACCCTTCCTCAGGCAAAGGAGATGCAAAGATTTTAATATATGATATCTTCCCTGTAACATGGAAGATAACATAATTAGCCATTTTGAAATGAAAATGTCACAACTTTACAAGAAAGAAGTAAAATTCAACACCTTGAGACCTGGAAACTTATACCCCTGCTCCAGCCTTTTGTTTCAAGTCAAATTTGCATACTTGCAGAGCAGCCTAAACACAACAGAACTTCCTTGCGCAGGAGAACCTTCCCATCTCCAGTCCTCCTCTGAAATATGAAACACCTTAACAAGAAAGAAAAAAATTCGACATCCTGCTTGCCATCAGACACCTCTGAGGGAAACAGACTGCTCCAACTTTTATTCGAGTCCAATTTGCAAAAAATGAACTTTTCCACCCAGGAGAACTTATACCATCCTCCAGCTCTCCTGTACAATATGAATTTTCATTTCTACTTGGGAGAAATTTTAAAATCTTTTCATTCTTCTTTGCCTGAGGAAGGGTGCATGATCCTGAAAGCTAGCAAATAAAGCATTTTTTGCAGCTATCTAGCTAGTCTAATAAAAGATATCACATCTACCACACTGACTACTTTTGCTTTTAGACCAACATGGCTACAACCTTTATCCCTGTGCACATACCACACGCTGTTGCTCAGATCTTTGAATGTTTCTGCTTTTCTAATAATATTAGCTAGCAGGTTGTCTTGTTTTCTCATAAATCACAATTACTGTGCAGAAAGATTTAAAAAAACCTATAAGAAGTTAGGAACAGAAGTCCCATAGGTTTGCAAATCTTAAGGTGTTTTTGAAAGACTTCCCATAGTTTCTATTATACACTTGGAGAGCTGTTCTTTTATTGGCAGCCATACATAGTACCTCTCCAAATAGCAGTCCCACCCCTATTTGAAAAGGAAAACAGATCCTACAGTAATCTGGATGCTTGAGGCCAGGTTCCTAAAGATCTGAGGAGCCAGCAGCTTCCACTTAGGAGTTAGAGAAATGGCCAAATTTGGGGAACTAATTAGCCTGAATTGATTCAATCTTTGTTGGTTACTCTAACCTGCCTAGGTTGAACAAGTTTGCAAGTGTACAGACATTCCCTCTGGACTGAGGAAATGCAGGCCCTTTGCTGCAGTGGCTCAGGCTAGAAGCCAGGGGGTGCTACAGCAGCTCTCCCATCCCTGCCACAGTGCTGACCTGAGGTGGGGCATGGCCAGGCCCAGGTAGGATGCTTTGATTAGGGAGGGGTTTAAACCCTCATCATGCCTGCACAGTCCCAGGCTTTTCCCCACTCACTGCTCAAGGGGCAGGATTGTTGCCAGCTCCCAGCCCCCTACTAGCACTCTGAGGCAAAGGGGGGGAGGATGCAGTGCATGCACCTGTTGATGATACTGGGTTTTTCAATCTCTCTGCTTCTTCATACTGTTTGCAGCAAACCTGACAAGTGAGGGAGCCAGTAGGGGGCTGATAATACAGCACTGTTCAGCCCATCAAGAAAACAAAAGCCTCTCTCATTAGTTCAAGCTCCTCTTAAACAGATTTTTCCAAGGAAGGAACAGAGGGACATTACCAGCTGACCTGTTGATTAGCTCCAAAAAGCCCTAAGCGGACACTGTTCTGTTTGCCTTTGTCCTGTCTCAGTGAAATTGGACACACACATAGACACCTCTCAGCATTAGCTAGCATACCACATGCCTAGG